TGTTTTGTGCCCCAGTATATGGTCGATTTTGGAGAAGGTTCCATGGGGTGCTGAGTAGGTAGCATGTCCTTTGGGGCTTGGGTGGAATACTCGGTAGATGTCTGTTAAGTCCATTTGATATATGGTATTGTTTAATTCAGATGTCTCTCTGTTAATTCTGCCCATGGTTGACCTATCTAATGGAGACAGTGGGGTACTGAAGTCCCCTACTATTAATGAGTTGGGATTAATCTGGGTCTTAAAGTCCTGTAGTATTGTTTTTATGAAGTTGGGTCCACCTGAGTTTGGTGAATATATGTTCATGATTGTAATATCTTCTTGATTTATTGCTCCTTTGTTCAGAATGCAGTGGCTCTCTCTATCTCTTCTGATTAGTTTTAGTTAAAGTATATTTTGTCAGCTATTAGAATTGCTACACCTGCTTTTTTCTTAGTACCATTTGCTTGGTATATTTTTTTCCATCCTTTCACTTTAAGATAGTGTCCGTCCTTGAAAGTGAGATGAGATTTTTGCAGGCAACAAAAAGATGGGTTTTGTTTCTCAATCCATTCACCCAGTCTGTGTCTTCTGACTGGGGAGTTCAGTCCGTTAATATTTAAAGTTATTAATGAAGGATGAGTATTGAATCCTGTCATTTTTATTTCTGTTTACATTCTTGATACAGCTGTACTTTTCCACAGTTATACCTTCACTGATTTTCTTTCTGAAACCCATTGGGCATAGTCATTCCTTTCTTCAGCTCTTTGTATTGCTTTCAGAACTCTCTGAAGGGCTAGTTTTCTGGACATGAATTCCTTTAGTCTGTTTATGTCATAGAAGATTTTTCTTTCCCCTTCGACTATAATCGACATTTTGGCTGGGTATAGTAATCTGTGTTGGCATCTGTGGTCATTTAAAATTGGGAATACTTTGGTCCAGGCTCTTTTGGCTTTCATAGTTTGCACTGAAAAGTCAGCTGTAATCCTAATGGGTTTTCCTTTATATTTTCTCTTTTGCAGCTTTCAGTATTGTCTCTTTGTTTTATATGTTTAGTGTTTTTACTATGATGTCCCGTGGAGAGTTTCTTTTCTGGTCCTGTCTGTTTGGTGTTCAATATGCTCCTTGTATTTGTATGGGCACACCTTTCTTTAATTAAGGGAAATTTTCTTCCACGATTCTGTTGAAGATTTGGTCCATGCCATTATCTTGGGATTCTTCTCCTTCCTGTATGCCTATGATTCGTAAGTTTGGTCTTTTTATGGTGTCACACAATTCCTGTATAGTCCATTCTTGTGATTTCTTGAATTTTTCATCATCATTGCTTGAGTGGTCTAGTTCATCCACTTTATCTTCCAGTCTTGATACTCTGTTTTCAATTTCATTCATCCTATTGGTGAGACTTTCTCCTGTCGTTTCTAATTGGTTTACTGAGTGTTTCACTTCCTTCTTCATTTCAGCCTGAGTATTCTTCAATATTTCTAACTGTGGCTAGATAGTTCATAGGCTCTGGGGGTGAACATACTACAAATATTCTGCTAAATGGACATAGAATTAAAATGACTCCTAAATATTAGTGCCTCTCTCAGCCCTCATCGAGCTTTTACTTGCAGTAGAAGGCAATTAACAGAGACTTAAAACTGGTGAATAACTGGAGTGCTCAGTCCTAAATGGGACATTTATATCATACTCCTTCCAAGACTCAGGGATCTTTGAGGAAGAGGGATGAAAAGATTTTAAGAGCCAGATATCGTGGATGACTGCAAGGAAATAGTGTTTTCCAGAGAGTAGAACAGTTATACATATGAACTCACAGCAACTATGGCAGCATGCATAAGACCTGCACAAACTCAAGCCAGACCAAAAAAATCTCAGCATGGAGAAGAGGAAGTAGGCGAGAAATCCCAGCCCTAGCTGAGGGACTATTGACATTTAATAGCTGCTGGGAGAGAAAATGTCAGTTTTCTTTAAGGATGTTACTCCCCAGTAGGTTAATCATGATCTAGGGCAGGCTACAGCTGAGTATTTGGGCAACACAAATTAGACTTGATTGGGCACATGTGGGTGGACAGGGAGCTGGGGTGGATCTGGAAAGAGTGGGGGAGGATATAATTAAAATACATTATATGAAATTATCAAAGAATTAATGAAATGTTTTTTGGTCCTGTGAGTCTTAGATGTAGAGGTTGCATTGTAGATGTCTCACTTAGGCCTGGGCAATTCATAGACAATGTCCATGTGTGACCAGTTGTGGTACTTGGTAATAGTCTCTGACTAGTGCAAAATGAGCTTCTTTGATGAGTGGTGACTGGGATATTTGTCTTTAAATATAAGGATGCATATTTTGCACATAGCAAGAAATCACATTAGCCTAGCAATGTGACTGTCTTGGGGTTTTCTCTAAGACCTGTGACCACTCCAGCCATGTGTATTAGGTTATGTTTACATTACCACACTTGAGTTTCCTCCCTGTGAGTGGGTATTTAGTCAAATTAGGTAGCTGTTGATTGCCCCCAAGATAAGAGTGTCACTACTGCACCAATGACATATGCTGTGCTGGCCACTGATGTGGTTATTTAGTCTTGAAGCAGGGATAATGAAGAGGACACTAATGAATCTCTCGGTTCTCAATAATGAAGCTTCCTCATGTAGCAGAGGGCCATGAACACAAAAGGTCACAAATAGCCAAAGGGTAGAGACCAAGCATCTGCTGAATGCTGGCCCTTGGACAGGATCCCATTATTAAACTTCACCCACCCAAGGCTCAGGGACCATCACAGAAGAAGGGGCAGAAAGACTGTAAGAGCCAGGGAGAAGGTGCATGACCATATGGAAACGGAGTCCTACAAGCTCCTGGGTACCTGCTCATATGATTCTATGGCAATGGTGTCAGCATACACAGGTCCCATGCAAACTCAGGCAAACAATAACCAAGCATAAAACTCAGAAAATGAATAGCAGACCTCAATCTTATCTGAAGGAATGTTAGCAACTGATTGCTGCTAGATGAGGAAGAGCTGATCTTCCTAAAACAAGGGACTCTAGATAGGTTCACTAGACTTAGTGGATGGAGTTGCACTGGGGAACGGCTGGAGACACTGACAACCCAGTGGGCCTTAACAGGGCTCCAGTGGTGGGGGGTAGAGGGGCTATGGCAGGCTGCCAGTGAGGATGGGGGTATAAAGATGACTAAGCCTTTAATTCCAGCACTAGCAGGCAAGTCTCTGTGAGTTCAAGCCCAGCTGGGGCTACAGAGAGACCCTGTCTCAAAAAGACCAAAAAAAAAAAAAAAAAAAAAAAAAAAAAAAAAACAAGGTGACTATAAAGATGTTTACTACAGTGCTGACTGCAACAGCAAAGAATTTATAAAAGTTTACATTTCTTGGGAATGTTTTTCCAATGTGGCATATTCATGGAACAAGAGACTAATCAGAAGTTACTATTACTATGTACTGTGTACATTATAGAAAAATATACTGTTATACAATTTATGTAGCTTCAATAAACATCCTATACTGTTTATAGTTATTTAGATTAAGGATAGATTGGAGGAACTATAGGCATATCAGTTTAACTAATGATATTTAAGTAATATGCAAATATGATAAAATATGAATAAGACAATATATTATTAATTACATATAGTTATTAGATACAGCTTTTTGGTCTCTGTTCTCATGTATTTCAGAATTTCCTCAAATGAGAAATATAAAAGAAACATAAAAACAATTTTGCTTAGTCTTAAGGTTTTCAAGAAAGATTGAGTGTATATGTAGAGATTAGCAAGGTACTGACTTAAGACCACGCACAGCTGGACCATATTTTGGCATGAGCCTTCTTCCAAGAATGTGGACACCTGATTGTAACTACTTTATTAGTTATTGCTTTTCTATGAGGCTCTGAGAACTAATAAGAGAAACAGTCACTTTTCTTTTTCTAGCCTCTAGCCCTAACATTCTTTTCTAAAACTCTCTTTTACCTTCTCAAAGAAAAAATCATTTAATCAATTGATAGAAGAGGAGTTGTGGGTTTTCTCTCTAGATCACTGATTATCCACGGTGTGATTTGGTTTTCCCTGCCTGTGGAGGAACATTTGGCAATGTTTAGAGACATTTTTTATTATAATTAAGATGCTATTAGCATTTGGCATTTAGGTGTACAAACAGTGACCCTGATAAATATCCTGCAATACACAGGATAAGTCTTCACAGCAAAGGATTTTCTAGTTCAAAATGTCGATAGTGTAGAGACTAAGAAAACTTAACACTAGTTTCTAGAAGACAAATTGAATAAAAGCCCCATTCTTCTCAGCTGAAAAACTGTTTTTAATCTGATTGAGGTTCCTTCTTTATCTGGCACTACTTAGGGCTTCCATAGTAATAAATTTCTTTTAGCTGGATTAATGTAGTCATATTCCTTAAAACATACCAAGTATTCAACTCCACAAATAATTATTTTTAAAATGCATGATATTACAGCAATGTACTTCTTACCTCCTAAGATCACACTTAAAGATCTTCAATAGAGTCATTTATTCATTTGACTGTATTTAAAGTCCTTACTACATAAGAGTCACATATTGTGCTGTGATCTAGGGGTACAATGGTAAGCAGGGATGGATAAGGTCCCATACTAATTATAGCAGATTAAGAGCATAACAGAGAAGTCAAGAATTCATGCAATAATCACATAAACTAGTAACAGTCTGTAATTATGGATCAGAGCCATGAAAAATATGTGTAACAGATACATGAATAAGGGAGATTTGACCTAATAGTCACAGAAGGAAGAGAAGGCTCCCTTTAAGGAGGCAACGACTAAGACAACATCTGAAAGATACCTAACTATTAATTATAAAAATAAAGAAGTAGCTGGATGGAGGGAGATGTACATGCAAAGACCCCGAGGGAAAGAAAATGTAGTGAGTACACAGGAGTCAAAGATCACTTAACTTGAAGCAGATGAAACAAAAGTTCCAAAATTGCTGTGAAAATGACAAAGAAGCCACAGACATATGTTCCTACCTCGATGCCAGTGTGTCACATGGCGATCCTTTTCTCTTATGCGAGTCTGGGTTTGCAGGGTCCGATGAACTGTCCCCAAGGCCACTCATGTTGAAAAACTTCACACCTAGATAGGAAAGGTAAGAGTAAGAAATCTCTTATGACCTTTCTAAATAAACAAGGGGAGGGGAAGGGCCTTGTTATTCCAAAACAAAGAAAAGAACTTCTAAACAGTGAACAGATTACAGCCATCACAAAATCATCAGCATCTGAACCACAGGGTCATCAGCTACCCATTGCTGTTATTCCTTTCTATCTAAATCAGTAAAATAAAATTAATGATCTCCTATGAAGATGTACTGATCAACTAGGATGAAAATATGCTTACAACAGTTAGAGATATTTTACACTTTCATGTGTAAATATAAAAACTAGAATCTGAAAAATATATTTTATTTTATTATTTTAATATTCAGAATTATTCTTTTCAAAAAGATTTGAAACAATTTTACTTATGAGATTTTAAACTGATAGGAAAATAAGTGAAATTCATATGATTAAAGCATTAAACTGGATTTGGATTTTGAATTGTACTTTTCCACTCTGAATTGTGCTTATGCCATCTCGTGACAAAGATTAAAAAGTTTGGTTGATGTTAGGATCTTGGTATAGATGCCAGAAAACACAAAGTCATTCCCTCTAGCATGTCACTCAGGTCTTTCACACGTGCCAGTTAGTGACTGCCCTTAAAGATGCCTTCTGATCTGGCCCTCACCAACAACTACTCTGCAGAATCCCTAAGGAAACACAGAACTCTATCCTTGATCTTACGTTTATCTTTTGGACTTCAATAGTGTTAAATACCTACTCTTCTTCACTCCACTCACCCTCATAAAAGGAGGGAGGAAAAAATGTAGGAGAAACTCTCATTAAATGGGAAAACTTTCAGCTTTTCTTTAAATTCCAAATTATTAAACAACATAGCACTGTATGTTAGCAACCATGTTTGGGAATGCTTACCATGAAGAAATGTTGGAATCTATGACAAGCATTCACACAGCTTTAATAGATATATATATCTGAGTTAATCCTTCTTCTAGTTCTAAAATTCACTTCTAAAGACCAAAGACTGTCATAGTCTTCTTAGTGTATAAATAATCCCTAAAATTTTAATCATAAGATTATTTAATATAGCCAAAAGGACACATTTCTAGTTTCTCCATACTATAGGTTTTCTAAAATATCTAACTCTAAGATTTTCTTTCAATTTAATTTTCATTTTATGTGTATGAGTGTTTTGAGTGTTTTACCTGCATGTGTCTGTGTACCACATGCATGCATGAGTGGTGCAAACAGATGCCAGAGAGGGTGTAGGATTTTCAGGAACTGGAGTTACAGTTCTGGGCTGCCAGGTGAACTGAACTCAGGTCCTATGCAAAAGCAGCAATTGCTCCTAATGGTGGAGTCATCTCTCCAGTCCTCTTTTTTCTTTGTTTCTTTCTTCCTTTCTCTCTCTGTGTCACTCTCTCTTTAATACAGGGTCTCCCTATAGTCCCAGCTGGCCTGGAACTTGCTATGTAGACCAGGATAGCCTCAATCTTACAGACATCTTCCCCTGCTCCTGCCTCTGACTCTGCCTTCCAAAGTTGGGATTAAAGGCATGTGCCACCATACCCATCTCTCTTTTTCCTTTAGACAAGGTTTTACCATAGCAAACTCCAGCTGGCCTAGAATTAACTATACAACCCAGACTGGCCTCAAATGCCCAGTCCTCTTATCTTTGCCTCCAGAGTGCTGGGATTACAAATACGTACCACTATACCAGGTTAGAATTGCAAGCTTGCAAAGATTTTTTGAATTACTTTTTCTTGTTTACTTCTCATTTCTAATTTTTATTCTTTTCCTGCCAATTACTTCTTAATGACAGATTTTATACTGTCTCCTTCTTCAGTCTCAGATATAGTTATAATCCTATCTTGAAACTAAATATTTCATTCTAGGTTAACACAAGATCTTTTTGTTGTTTTGATCTTTCTGTCTGAAACAGGGTTTCACTATGTAACCCTGGCTGACCTGGAACTCATTTGGTAGACCAGGCTGACCTTGAACTCAAAGAGATCTGCCCACCTCTACTTTTACCTTCCTTCTCAGTTTCAGTCTTTTTACCTTCTAATATGTTTTGTAAACAACAGCAAAAGCATTCTTGTTCTAATGTCATTTTCAAGATATCACTTTTTTCATGAAAGTAACTGGATTCCCCAACTGGAGCATGAACAAAAGAAGCATGGGACAGAAGGAATTGTTTAAATTCTAATTTAACTATCCCTTGCCTGTCCTTCGTTCAAAGTATGTAATCTGTTTTTAAGCATATTTTCCCCCCATGTATTTTTTTGTACTTTGAGCCATTTTAGCCTCTTGCCATTATATGCCACGTGGAAGTGAATAACAGGATCTGTTTGTTTTCACTTCCTAAATCCATCCCTTCTTCATATTTTCCTTCGCCAACTTAAGGGGTTCAGGTTCTCTTCATCTCTCATTGGGCTACTAAAATAGTTTCACAAATGATCTTCCTGTTTCCAGTCTTATCTTCCTTAAATTGTCCATTGCAAAGTCTCCAGATTAGGCTACTGAAGGTAAGGCTGATCGCCACAATCATTTGCTTAAAACTCTTCACTAAATTCTCATTATTCACAAAATATCCACTTCCCTTCATATATACAATGTCGTTACCACTCACTTAGTATAGAATGTGGTGAATGCCAAATTAAATGCCTGTCCAACCAAGTGTTTACAGATAATATATGTATATTCTATGTATTATATAGTATACATACTATCTATATAGGAACAAATTACACATTATATATAATTTTAATATGTAAACATGTATTATAGATGCTAATTTTAGTTTCAACCTCAAAAAAATTCTTCAAAATATAATTCTTGGTAATATGCTATGTTCCCAGAAAAGGAAAGTATTAGTCAAAAAACTTTGACTTTAATGTGGGGAACACACCAATTTCAGTGAGCAAAAAATGCTTACTGAGCTTACTTCTAGGCCCTGGTTACCAGCTATGAATTTGCAAAATCATTATTCTTATAGAGTTTCATTCTATTTTGAGCAATGCAAATGATAAAATTTAAAATGATGTTACATAGCATATTTAAAAAGCTGATAAGTGCTCTGGAGAAAAATAAGACAAAAATAGAGATTTAATTATGTGGACATGAAGGAGAAGTGAGCAGTTAGGAAAGGTGGTCTATGAGAAAGACTGGGGGGAAGCAAGGGAACCAACTGTGACAATGCAGATGGGTAAGGGTGCTCCTGACAAGGGAGAGATGAAGGCTTTATGACAGACCATAACTGTTTGCTTTTTTTCTTTTTTTGGAGAAACATGGCTGAGAAATGGAGGAGGAGATGAAGTCAGAAGGATAAGGAGAGGCTGTAACAGGTAAGGCCTCACAAAGCTGAGAAAACCCAATGGTATTCTTAGTATGCATTCTGTCACTGAAACTCAAAAGAAGAATATCAGCTAATGTTTCTTGCTATATAGCCTTCAGCTTTACACATGCACTCGTGTGTGCGTGTGTGCGTGTGTGTGTGTGTGTGTGTGTGTGTGTGTGTATGCATTTTTCAGTAGGCTTTTGAGTGAATACATTTCCTTCTGGTTTTTCATACCACCTTGGCATTATTTATCTCTGTTCTCTCTCCCTCTGAATAATTGAGTGCAATGTACAGCTAAAGACTATATAACAGTGCCAGACAGGAGAAACTTCCCTTTGAGTTGTTCGGCAGGGTAGTCCAAGAGACTCCCAAAATAACACAGGCTATTGCCACAGCCCTTCATTGCCTCCTAGAACTTGAAGGTAACTTATTGCTGAAGACAGGACACACTTCAGACACAGAACTTAGAGCAATCAAGCTGGAACTGACCTAGAAGCCACCTCCCTGAAGACTAGCTCTCATGGCAGAGGATAAGCTGCCAAGGGAGAAAAACCAATCAATGGTCCTACCCAGCTGTGAAGCCTAATAACCACAACAATCATCACAGAAGTGAACTATCTCTACTAGTGCAGTAGTGGTACTACTACTACTACTACTACTACTACTACTACTACTACTACTATTTTATATTGGGGGTAACCAACAGCTATCTATTTGTACTTAAAGCCCACTCAATGGGAGGGAACTCATGTGTGGTACTGTAAACAGGCAAATACACATGGCTGGAGAGGTCATAGAGCCTAGAGAAAAACTTATGTCACATCCCTAGACAAACATAATTTCTTACTGTATGTTAGATATGTATCCTTACAGTTACAGACAAGTATACCTCTCACTACTCATCAAAGAAGCTTCCTTTTACAATAGATGAGACTACCACAGAGTTCTACAACTGGTCAAACAGAGAAAATGCATCTGTGAGATGTCCAACCCTAAGTGACATATCTACAATGCAACCTCTATACCTAAGGCTCAAGGAACATAGCAAAATGAGTCAGAGAGAACATTAATGCATCTCTCAACTCTCATCAGAGAAGCTTTCATGCAACAGAGAGTAATTAATACAGAAAGTAACAACTGGCCAAAATATAGAGAACAAGAGACTGCAGAGTGAATGTCCCTGGATAGGCTCAGGGACCACTGTGGAAGAGAGGGTGGAAAGATTGTAAAAGCCAGGAATGGTGGATGACCACAAGGAAACAGAGTTTTCCAGGCAGCTGGGAACTTGCTCATATGAACTTACAGCAATAGTGACAACACGCACAAGACCCACACAGACTCAAACCAGACAAAAACTGAGCAAAGAAGTGGGGAAATGGGTAAGAAGCCCCAACCTGAGCTGAGGAATTATTGGTAACTGATCACTACTGGGTGAAGGAGAGTTGGTCTTCTGTAAGGGAGTGACGCTAGATAGATTGACCAGGTGCCGGTGGATGAACTCACACTGAGAGACACAAACATTACTCGATAGGCCTTAAGATATATGATAGAATGCATGAAATCTGGTGGGGGAGGTATAGGGGAGGGTATAAATATGATTAAGATGTACTGTATGAAATGCATGCACAAAAATTCAATAAAAAATTTAAAAGAATGTCAGCTAAGAGAGCTATTACTGTAACTAATAAAATAGACAATCCTCTTTTCCTGTGGAGATTCACAGAAGCAGAAATAAGGCTATTCAAGTGCACAGAAGTAAAGATGTTACTTCATTTTCACACATGAGCAAATGTAAACAATCTACTAAAATGGGATTATGAAATAAATTCACAATCACCAAGTAGCAACTCTAAACTTTTCTACAAAAGTAGAAATAAAAGACAAAAGGAATTATAAACAAAGAAAATGAAATATACAACTTTAATATTTACACAAATCCAAAAGAAGTTTCCTAACTTCTACTTCAAGCTCAAGTACCACTTCTTATTTTCTTAGCTGCCTATTTTTATTACCTTTGGGGAAGTTATGTTATATTCATCTAGAAGTCTCATTCTCAAAAGTATTTCTATATGCTATTTCTCATGACAAGGTGCTATGTGTTATAATTCCTTTGTCTCGTCTCCCCTTCTAGACTGTGAACTTAAAAGGCAGTTACTAGAATTTACTATATATCTAATATCTAATGAAAGTATACATAAAAGATAGAAGAGCAAATTAAATAGATGATTTAAATGTACTATTTTAAATAATCTTTTAAAAACTTTTAAAGTATATTTAAGTTCTATAGTTAGATCTAAAAAAGATGTTTTTATATGTTTGAGTGTTTTATCTGTATGTGTGTAAGTGCACTTGTGTCATGCAATGCCTGTGAGGCCAGAAGAGGGCATATGATCCCCTGGAACTGGAGTTATGGGTAGTTGGTAGCCTCCATATGTGTTTCAGGGAACCAAACCTAGGTCCTCTGCAAGAACAGCAAGCACTTTTAACCACTGAGCCATCTCTCCAGCCCCAGTTAGATATTTTAAAGAACTTTTAATAAAGCTTTAAAATTCTTCACTTTAATTGGAAATGTGACCTGTCTTGTAATCCTTTTCCTACCTATAGTGAACAGAAAACAAATAAAAACCAACTTCTTGGTCTAGAAATTGGACAGTATCTCTATTCTAATTTTGAGAAGGTAAAGAGTTACTTTTTAATTTCATTTAATTTTTTGCATTAAAATATTTTATTAGCATTGTTTTCTTTAAGAAGTAACATGAGTACATTGAAAGATTTTGTATAGTTTGGGAAATCTGGAAAGGGTGTGAATGACAAACTTACATTATAGGAACGGTGACAATTTTCCCATTATTGTTGAAGCTTGGTAGCACAGTTTTGTCAGTAAACAACATTCAAAAATTATAATAGACGTATAGAATTTTGATTTTATATTCTAAGATCTAATTACATATTTTTAGTTTGAGGATTATATCAGTTTAGTTATTACAGTACTTTCTATTTTAAACTTCCCAGACTGTGATTTTTATCTCTAGAAGTTCAATTAGGACATAGGTGAAGACATATTGGGCTGTAGAAGAATAACAGAATTAATGGAAAACCTCTTGGTGTCTGTAATGGGAGAGGTCTAGCATCAAGGCCTGGATACTCAGACCAAAGTGCAGAGTGATGACCACGGTTGAGCCTCAGGGAAGGTGGGAGGTCTGTTCCAAAGAATTAAGTCCTCCCAAGATCAGAATCTGCAAATAATAAAGGCCTCTCCTGTTCCCAGCATAAGAGGCTAAGTGTCTGCTATGGAGAACCTGGGACCTCAGGGGAGGGGATGATGAAAAATGCAGTCACTCAGAGAAGATTGAAATGGCTGCCCAACATCAGGAAGTCCTCCATGCTCTACTCTGCTCCACTATCAGCCTACCCTTGAAGGAATGTGGAAAAGTGGCTCACAGTAGAGGTCTAAGCTTCAGGCTCATGTGAGAGGACCACAGCTCCAGGTTTATCAGAAGAGACAACAACTCTAGCTCACAAGAAGGGACCACTGATCCAGCTCCCAGGGCAGAACCACAGCTCCTGCTCATGTTGGGGGTGAACCACAGTTCCTGTTCAAAGGGGTGGAATACAGTTCTAGTTCACAAGAGGGGAACACAACTTCAGGCTCACAGGAGACTACAGTTTGAGCTCACAGGAGGGGACCACAATCCTAGATCACAGGAAGGGATAGCAGCTCCAGGTTCACAGGAAGGGACCATGACTCCAAGTCCACGGAAGGGAACCACAGCTCCATCTCACATGAGAGGACCACAACAAAACTCACAGGAGGGGATCACAGTGAATCTGCAGCTGTGGTCCCCTCCTGTGAGCAGGAGCTGTGGTCTATTTATTTATGTTGATGGTTTATTCTAAACATGTTGCTTTCCTGCCAATAAAATTTAACTTCTTTTTGATTGCTAAACCCACCTTCCAAGTTGATAGCTATCATTCTTTACATAATATCCATCTTATCTTTAAAGGTGGGTGTCAAGTGGGATGAAGAGGATTCATGGATATTGTTGCTGTTCTACTTCTTAAGCTTGGTAGTGTTTACACAAATGGGATCTATGTGAGATGACTCAAAAGTTATATGCTTGCCGGGCGTGGTGGCGCACGCCTTTAATCCCAGCACTTGGGAGGCAGAGGTGGGCGGATCTCTGTGAGTTCAACACTAGCCTGGTCTACATAGTGAGTTCCAGGACAGCTGGAGCTACAGGGAGACCCTGTCTCAAAAAAAGACCCCCTCAAAGTTATATGCTTAAAATTTGGGATTGTTCACTGACTGTTATAGCTCAATTGAAAAATTATTAATTTGAAGCAGCCTGCTTAGAAGTCTTTCCCTTACTGATTTGCAGTTTCTGATAATGCTCCATTTCTTCACTGAAGGTCATGGCTACATGTTATTCTACCTATAGTCAGCTATTGCTATCACCATGTTCATGGTTATATCGGTCAATTCACGAATTCTAAGAAAACAGCAACAACTTAAAAATGTCCAGATTCACACTATGTATATAGAAAATTATTGACCAGATCTATGTTAGAAATATATGAACCAAGTTTAGGGATAGTTGCATAGTTTTCTGCTGCCATTTTTCAATGCAGTTAAGAATTAGAGAGTAAAATATAATTGTAAAATATAATACCTAGGGCAGTTTCAAATTACATTAAAATGGTTCATAAAGTACTGCCTAGAAATTTTTGAACACTAACACATAGGAATATTAGCTCCTGTTTTACAATCACCTTGAAGCGTCCCAGACACAACACATACTTCCAAAAAATAATACTCAAAAGATAATAATTTTCCCTCAGTTTTATAGCAACAAAGCTCATAAAAAGTAAGGCTATAATTCCTACCTGGGAGACTTCTTTGTTCATAATGAGTCCTCAAAACAGATATGGTCAAATCTAGTGCTTCAGAGGGTAGCTTCTGGGAAAATGGAGTAATGATGTCCAAAGATGGCTTTAGTCTCTTCACGCTTATCACATTTAAGGTCAATTACACAAACAACTAAAACAAGGGAGAAGAAAAAAGCAAATGGGTTAGATTGTCATTTTACAATATTATTTTTCAAGAAATAGTAAAAGGTCAGAAGTGCTATGAAATGAAAGAAATGCAAATTTTAAAGTCAAATGGAAAGAAAAATTTCCAAAATACAATGGATGAAGATCTGAATTCATAGGCAAAGACCTTTCCGGTGATGTTATTTGAGACAGCTTGCTGCTAAAGTAATGCATAATTACATTCTGTTAAACATCTGATAAACCCCCTAAATGTCTTTAAAAAAATTTTTTTGCATTTGAGGAGGAAGCATGGAAATTTACATCATGTTAATTAGTAGAGGTGATAAACATTACCAGTGAAATCCACCTGATGACTTTATAGACACCAAGAATCCAAGTGCAACTGATTATGACTAGTAATAATCAGATACATACAGATTAGAGATGCATGAACCAACATCTCAGTGTTAGTAGCAGAAACAATGAGTCTTTCTGCAAGGAACAATATATTCTAAAATGAAGTGGAGATCTTTCTTTAAAGGTTAAAAACTCATTCAATTTTATGTCTTACAGGGTTTGTACTGAGCTCAATATTGTATAACTGTATTAATTCAACTGTGAAGCTAAAAATTTGCAGGTACTCTTGTTCTGGAGTGTGTTAAATATTTTAAAGCTGTAGTGAAATGCTTCTTCTAATCATGTAGTTATTAAACATTTTTTAAAAAATGATAAAAAATAATAATTCTTCAAAGCATAAAAATTTGCTCCTTAATAATTAGCAGATGTGAAAAACATTACCACTGAAACCTACCTGATGACTTTATATCCATGTCAGATGCCAAGGAGCTCAGAATGTAACCGACTGTGGCTAGTACTAATCAGATATATAGAGATTAGAAACGCATGTGCAAACAACTTAATGTCAGTTGCATTGAAAATGAATTTTTCTGTATGAAACTGTATT